GTCGCGAAACCCCCCCCCACCCCAATGCACAATGAAAGACATTACGTCACCCGAGCGCACTTCAGAAACGCGTCACAGGCTAAGCAAAGCGTGTGACAAGTTAATTTTCACTGGAAGCAGATGCTCGCACTATCCCACCATGGCAATGCAAACAACCAGCAGGCGCTAGGAAAACAAGCCACGGGGCCGGGCCTGGCCTGGCCGGTGGGACTCCGTGCGGTCCAAGTGAAGGGTCGGGTCCTCGGGGACGAATTGTGAAAGCGAACCTTCATCGCCCACACCGCACCGTGAATCATTATGATCGTAGCTGCGTCACAATTATTGAGCTTTTCGTGCCCCTCACAATCCCAGCAATGTTTGGGCGATCTAAATAAATGCGACCTGACATTGCTATGCGCGCCGACTGTGTTTTGCACAAAAACGTGGTGAATTAAAATTGCAATCCAGCATGCACGGTTTTAGCTGTGAATGTACACGTGGGGGAGTGGTGGTGCAGCGGTTAGCGCACCGAGATATGAACCCATCCACCCGAGTTTTGATTCCCGGTCATGGCGAACATCAGCGGAGAATCAATGCAAATTCTAGATTTGAAGCTTTCGTGACTGCAAGGATTCATACTCTTTGGTTTTTTCGGTCACGTAGGTAAAATCAAAATAAAATGAAAGAAAACAACTAAATTAAATCACGACGTTTCGGAGGCAACACAAGCTTCCGTCTTCAGGTGTAACAGACACAACAAAATTCGCTGTATCAAATGAACAGCTCTGGGACACCCGAGCTTATATACAGGTTAAGGGGGGGGGGAGCCAGGGAGGGACGTGGGTGGGGAGGGGAGGGCTGAGTTAAGCCACCTTTTGTTATGCTGCAGGGGGTTCGGGGGGAGCGAAGGCGTGCTGCACGAGAGCAAGCACCATCCTGGTAGAAACGAAACGGCTGTACAATTATCAGCCAGCTAACGTTTGACTTGGTTGATGACATCTTTCCAAAAGTTGCTCAATTTGAAATCATCCTCTCGGTTGAAGTTGTGTCTATGTTTGTATATCTGGATGGCTTCATGGACAAATCTTTGGTAATAACCGGGAGGTTTGCATAATACTTTGGTATCGGAGAAAATAATGTCATGAGAACCCGCTGTGTTGAAACAATGATCAGCCACGGCCGAATAATTTGTTCTGCCGTGTTTCAAATCTGATTTGTTGCTCGCGAATTCGGTCAGAAATATGTAGTTTTGTCTCCTCGATAGCAGTCACCACAGATACAACTCAATTTGTAAACACTGGGGTACTGTAAGTCAGGAATGACATCCTTTACGGATGGGATCAGATCCCGGATTTTGTGTACTGTATTGAACCGGACCTGGATCTTGTGTTTGTTTAGAATTTTGGAAATCTTTTTGGTAACGCCTGCTATGTATGGCAGGGTGATGGTTTTGATCGGAGTGTCAGGTGGTTGTTTCTGTATGGTTGGAGTAACAGCTTGGCGGATGGTACGGTCAGAGTATCCGTTCCTCTTGAGGGACAGATGTACATGTTTTAATTCACTGGCCAGGTGGTGTTGGTCAGAAATGCAATGAGCCCTATGGTATAATGTTTTGATGAGAGAGTTCTTTTGAGCCGGGTGGTGGTGGGAATCAGGCTTCAAGTATGAATTTGTGTGGGTGGACTTTCTGTAAACAGAATGTCGCAAAGAGCCATCCGTCCTCCTCTCAAACAGAACATCCAAGAATGGCAGCTTGCCATCTTTCTCCAATTCCATGGTGAATTTGATGGATGGGTGTCTGGAATTTGTGGTCTAGGAAATGGTTCTAAGCTGGGAGGCCATGTGGCCAAATGATGAAAGTGTCATCCACATATCTCTTCCACAGGGAAGGACGAAGGGTGGATGTCTGGATGGCGTTTGTACCTGCGCTGGTTAGGCACTGCCTCACCAACACTTACTTTACCTGGAATGGTACCTTCTACAAACAAAATTAGGGTACCCTTATGGGTTCTTCCTTGTCATCAGTGATAGCCAATGTTTTCATGGAGAAATTTGAATCAGACACCATCCAGACATCCACCCTTCGTCCTTCCCTGTGGAAGAGATATGTGGATGACACTATCGTCATTTGGCCACATGGCCCCCCAGCTTTGAACCATTTCCTAGACCACAAATTCCAGACACCCATCCATCAAATTAACCATGGAAGTGGAGAAAGATGGCAAGCTGCCATTCTTGGATGTTCTGTTTGAGAGGATGGATGGCTCTTTAGGACATTCTGTTTACAGAAAGTCCACCCACACAGATTCATACTTGAAGTCTGATTCCCACCACCACCCGGCTCAAAAGAACTCTCTCATCAAAACATTATACCATAGGGCTCATTGCATTTCTGACCAACACCACCTGGCCAGTGAATTAAAACATGTACATCTGGCCCTCAAGAGGAAAAGATACTCTGACCGTACCATCCGCCAAGCTGTTACTCCAACCATACAGAAACAACCACCTGACACTCCGATCAAAACCATCACACTGCCATACATAGCAGGCGTTACCAAAAATATTTCCAAAATTCTAAACAAACACAAGATCCAGGCCCGGTTCAATACAGTACACAAAATCCAGGATCTGATCCCATCCGTAAAGGATGTCATTCCTGACTTACAATACCCCGGTGTTTACAAATTGGGTTGTACCTGTGGTGACTGCTATATCGGGGAGACGAAACGACATATTTCTGACCGAATTCGCGAGCACAAATCAGATTTGAAACACGGCAGAACGAATCCTTCGGCCGAGGCTGATCATTGTTTCAACACAGCGGGTTCTCATGACATTATTTTCTCCGATACCAAAGTACCTTGCAAACCTCCCGGTTATTACCAAAGATTTGTCCATGAAGCCATCTAGATATACAAACATAGACACAACTTTAACCGAGCGGATGGATTCAAATTGAGCAACTTTTGGAAAGATGTCATCAACCAAGTCAAACGTTAGCTGGCTGATAATTGTACAGCCGTTTCGTTTCTACCAGGATGGTGCTTGCTCTCGTGCAGCACGCCATCGCTCCTCCCGAACCCCCTGCAGCATAACAAAAGGCGGCTTAACTCAGCCCTCCCCTCCCCACCCACGTCCCTCCCTGGCTCCTCCCCCCCCCCTTAACCTGTATATAAGCTCGGGTGTCCCAGAGCTGTTCACTTGACGCAGCTGATTTTCCTGTGTCTGTTCCACCTGAAGACGGAAGCTTGTGTTGCCTCCGAAACGTAGTGATTTAATTTAGTTGTTTTCTTTTATTTTATTTTTATTTCACCTACGTGACTTTACCGAAAATACCAAAGAGTATGCAATCATGTCAAAGCCAGTTGTGGTCTGCACCTCCGATTAGCATGGTTGGTTACGTACGGTGCGAAAGAAGTTCATCACACATACATACGGTCCACCACCCCCCAGCTCACCTTACACCAACCCTTACTGACCAGTGTGGTCAAGAATGGTCAAACCACCCTCATGACCGCGAACACTGTGCGGACAGCTTTTCATTAATCAGTCTATTGACAAAGGGATATACATACATTGCGCATAAGCACACACAATACACATCCCATGCGGTACCTGCATGCTTGAACACAGCGCATGATATGCTACGTGCAGAGCACAGGGAGCACGGTCAAGAGGCGATCACGGGCCAATGACATCTATACCACCACCACCACCACCCCCTTGCCATCACTTCTTTCCTTCAGCTAGCAGAAGCTAGCATGACAATAACAGGTGCTCTAACATGTGTGCATATACGTAATTGTACAACACGTATGCTGCAGTGCAACAGATGTTAAATTGAAAGATTACGTATCAATGTCCAGCGCAAGTGTGTACACAGTGAATATTAGATGCATTTAGAAAAACAAGGTTGTATTGTCGTACGAGAAATGCTCCATCCTAAAAGGCAGTAATACTGCATCCTCAGGAAGTATACTGCTCCCTCAGGCAATATACTGCATCTTCAGGCAGTATACTGCATCTTCAGGCAGTATACTGCACACTCAGACAGTATACTGCACACTCAGACAGTATACTGCACACTCAGACAGTATACAGTATACTGCCTAAGGGTGCCTTCAACGTGGGAGGCGAAACGTCGCAAAGGAGAAAGGAGTAGCACTCTCCACAACTATCTAGACAGATTTAAAAATTTCAAACACTAAAAGCTTTTTTCATAAGTTATCTAAATATAACATTGTGCAAATAACACCGAATGCATTTGGTGTGGGCATTCTATATCAGCTGGGAATTTGTGTCATATGCCCAGAATCCAGAACTCTGGAAACTAAGCACCGGTTGTGCGCTACGCAAAATTTTCAGGACTCCCAAATCCCCTCTCGGGGGGTGTCTGCCAAGGGTGTCCCAGGCTGTGGTGGAACAGAAAATATATTCATGAACGCGTGTGCACGGTCCATTGAGTGCCGTCTCTTCGCAAGTGTAGATTTTCTCTTGGTGCCCCGATCACCTCCCACACGTCGCAGACATTGCAACGAAGGGCCCTGTTTCAGAAAGACCAATGGTCCTCGGCGAGGTTTTCCTCGACAGATAAGCGGCGTTATTATTATTATTATCGGGGGTGGAGCGCTGGCACGGTGGGTTAGCGTGTCGCGCAGGGGTCGGCAGCCTGTGGCCTCCGAGCCGCATGCGGCTCTTTAAGGAACAGCTTCGTGACGTCATTTATTGAGGCCCACCGCCGTCCCCGTATTCGCGTGCACTTGCGGCTCTTTAAATATCAATTTTTATTTTACAGAATTTGATAAAAAATGGCTCTTCAACTTCTTGTTATTTTGGGTGCCGACGCCCTGGCGTAGCGCCATTAACCGGGCCGCCCGAGTTCGCTGGCACGACCACCATCTCCTTCACCACCATCACCGCCATCATCATAACCAGGTGGCTACTGCTCTGCTGGAAGGCACTAAGCCCACGAGGCGATCCCACCGAGCGTGGTGGAGATGTGTGAGGGGCACACTGACCTGGTGGAAGATCGGCATCTGCAGCTGTCACCTGCTGCTGCTGCTGCCTCCTGGCTCGGCTGGCAGAGCGCGATCCCTCGGTGCTCAGCGTGGCTCGGCTCGAGTGCGAGCTGCTGCTCTCCTCTGCGTCCTGCGCACGCCACGGCACAGTTGTGACAGAGTCGCGGCACCGTCAGGGTACAGTCGTGGCACAGCCGCGGCACAGTCGCAGGACGGTCGCGGTACACTAACGGCGCTGTCAAGGCAGTTACGGCACTCTGACAACACACACTCTCAGTTGCCACGTCCTCTAACCCCATCACTCATAGTTCATAGTTCCATTGATTTGGTACAGCCCTGTGAGCCATTCGGCTCTTGAATCGGGTGCAACCGCAACAAACAAAAACATGAACAAGTAAACATCTTAAAGTGATTATGTGACTGTGCAAACAGAATATCCAGGAAAAAAAAACATCAAAATATTCCTGAAATAGCATCGTACACCAACGCTGTGTGCAAAAATCCCATTGGGATGCAAGTCAAACAACAACAACAACCACAAGACAACTAAGATTAAGGCCGTCAGTCTAACTCCATACTACAATAAACAAAAACATGGCCAAACCAAAAAAACGTTTTCGAAATCACCAAAATAAAAGCCATAAATGCAATGTAACAGTGATCATAGGGACTGTGACTGAATTTTTTACAATAAACTACATAAATAACATGTAACACCAAACCCTAGAGCCATATTTTAGGCCACTGAATAGCAGTAGCACCTAGGGGTGTACAACTCCTCTAGAGCAGTTTTGAGTGAAGATCTCATAGGTAGTGATTCAAGTTGCAGTTTATTGGCAATAGCATTCCAGACCCTGGGGGCATCAATAGCAAAGGCCCTTCCTCCGGTTTTTGTACGGCAATAGGGAATGTGAAGTTGGTAAATGAGCGAAGACCTGAGGTCAAATTTGTTCTTTGAAACAGAGAGGAGATCCAGTAGGTAGTCTGCGGATTTTTTTGTAAGTACTCGCTCTCAATCAGATTCCATCTCCTTGTCGTGATGATTTCCCGATGGCCAATGAAGGTGACCCATGAGCGATTCCGTTCTACGTGATTTAGCAATTCAATTACTTTGTCTGAGAGTTGTGAACTGCAGACAGACCGCCTTCACATTTATATCTGGGGCAGTGCGAAGTTACACATTCCGTGCTTTGGTGTCCGTCGCCACAGTGGCACACAGGAGGGTCTTTTATTTTCTTCCGTGGTGTGGATCGGGCTAAGCATTGCCCATTGTTTCTATGGAAGATGGCAGCCAGACAGCGCAGTGGCGACCTAGATCGTGATATGCACCGATTTAAAAAGCTCTTCGCTATATGTATGTATGCTGAACGTCTTTCACACCGTACGTAGCCAACCGTGTTAATCGGAGGTGCAGGGGAAAGGACAACAAACTAAACACAAAACGCAGTTAAAAAGAAATTAGTATTTCATCTATATTAAAAAGTACGTAGCTCCAGTGGCTTCCTAATATCGGAAGGAAGCGCGTTCCAGACGGCCGCGGAAGTGGATCTGAAAGTGCGCGTTGCAGTGACCGTGTTTGTTCGATGGCTAGCCAAAAGCCGCTGCTGCGAGGATGACCAGAGTTTCAACTCATTAGTATATTGTTTTCATTATAACATTTTATTTTCCACCATTACCAAGCTCATTGTGAACACACCACCACTCGCTCTCAATCGGATTCCATCTCCCTCAACACCATCACTTGTTCTCAATCAGAATAAAAAACCTAACATGAAAATAATCAATTATAAATCAAATGATGTGACGCGTGCAACGTTCGAATAAGAATCAATTTTAATCGATGAATGGTGCAACGATGCATATATTTATCGAATAATATCAATTCTACTAGCTTACACTACACGGATCAAATCGCGTTTGTGACAATCGATGTTTTTGATCAATATTCTGTATGTATACTGTATGTTGTAAGCGAAATCTCCGGTTACTCGAAGCCACTACATTCACCATGATGCCAAATTAGAAATCGATTCTTGAATTGAATTGCTAACCTTCACCATGACAAATGAATACATCCCAAGGGCGGTGTGAATTCTCACACCCATAATAAATAGCAACCAGCCAAACACCGGGACGGATCCAAGCGTACGTCATACATAACAAACTCTCTTAACAATCCCACTGTTAACGAGTGTTTGAATGCATGTTATTATTGGAAGGCGTTTAACTACGGAGATGGAGCCATGGAATCAAATCGTGTGCGGGCGCTCGGCAGATTGCTACATCCCGCGACCCTGAGGTACGGCGATGGCTTGTGGAGCCCCTTCATCCAGCAGTGGACCGGGCACGGCTATTGACGATCGCGATCATGTGCAGCAAGCGACTTAATGCAGCACCTGAGCAGAGCGCAATGCGGCAAGCGTTCGTCTCGAATCGTTCATTTTCGAGATTTACATCGGATCGACAGAAAATTCGGCACGCGCGCCAGCACCAAAACTGACACCTGCGCAATTACATTTATATATTTTGCTATAATTAGGTTAAGGTTCCATTCCGTAACGCTGCGTTGCAGAAATGAATGATTTTAACATACCATGGTGGGGGGGGGGGGGGGTGGGGGAGCGGCCAGGGAAGGGCTTTGACACAGCAGGGTAGGCAAGCAACAAAGTTTACTGCGCTAATCATAACGGCAACTCACCGGTGGCATCGCTCAGGCTTACTCCCGTTAACGTGCACATTGTAAACTAAACTACAAAACCAAACTAAACTATTTATATCGGAACAGGAAAGGGTCAGGGGCGGAGCCACAGGGGGGGTTGGGGGGGGGGCTCAGCCCCCCCCTGAAATTTTGGGAAAGTCGGTAATCGGGATAACCGGATATCCGGCTGTTGCAAAATGCTGCAGGCTGCCACCTTGTGCTGCCCTGCAGGCTGCCACCTGGTGCTGCCCTGCAGGCTGCCACCTGGTGCTGCCCTACAGGCTGCCACCTCGTGCTGCCCTGCAGGCTGCTTGAGCGGCAGCCTTTCGAACTTATCGAACTTATTAGCCACATCAGCGGCTCCGACCTATTAATAAACTCCACGTTCAAATCCAATAAAATTTGTTTTATACATTTGTGGCGCCCATTGGAAAACATAAACACACTGAGATATCTCAGAATATTGAAGTCAGCCCCCCCCAAAGTCAAAATCCTGGCTCCGCCCCTGGAAAGGGTCAATATGATGCCAGTAATGTACATTCCATGCTCCAAGTGTTCCTCTTGACGTAATACCATGCTTGTGCCTCTCCATGCGTTTCTGCACACGTTCAGCCGTTGTCCATTTGGGGGCAATATGCTGGTAAATTAGAGTATTACCTTCTACAATGAGGACATTATTAAGTCTTAAATAATATCTTATAAAATACTTGTATTTCCAGACTTTTGTCAATCAACCTCCGCCTCCCCGTGCCATGTCAGTGACAGGGTTTGTTTGGCCATACTTCACCATGTATGTACTTATTTGGCACAGTACACTGTAGCCAACCATGCTAATCGGAGGTGCGTACAGTCATAATCGGAGGCATACAACAGTGAATTCTGTAGCCCTACCCTAATAATGCTAAGCTACTCGAAATTCGTTTGACAAAATATGCGTGGAACCGCACGGCATCCCACGCTCACGCTAGCCGTGAACCGACGAGTGACCGGGCAAGCTTTGCACCGCATAACGTAATGCGAACAAGCGCAGTGCACGACAATAACAGCGGGGCTTACGTGCCGGGAACGAACTTACTTGACTGGACAAGCAGATGACATCTGAGACAACACACGTCGGATGACACGCATGAAAAACATTCGGAAGCGTTCTCGGAAATAAATAAAGAGACAGTCAGGCGTGTAGCCGGGGCTGCAGAGCTGAGAGCCTTGTTGACAGAGGACAATTGGCGAATTCTGACGTGGTGAAACGGTACACAAGAGGGCACTCGTCAGGTCGCAGGAAGAGGCCTCTGACGAGGGTTGCTGGTTATGAGACGAGGAGCGTTTTGTGCTCTGTTTTAGACTTATTCACAAGTCTGGAAAAATTGCCTGATGAAGCTGGTTTGTTGTAATCACCAGCGAAACGCCGCAGTACTCGAATTGGAAAAATGTTGTGGGCTTACTAATAGGCTGTGTCAAGTGGTGGTGGGTTAATGACGCATTGATATTTACGCGATTTAACCCAAAAAAACACGTAATTATATCCTGCTCTACTTCTTCTGTCGCCCGCTGCGCAATGGCAGGTCATTGGGTCAAACGCCCTCCACATTGAGATGAGGTTTTCCTCTTTTTTTTTTTGCAACAAACAGGTGTTAAGATGTTAGAACACCAAACTGAAACCTTTTGCAAGGAATCATGTCTGCATTAACCACAATATTTGTCGTCAGAATGCAAAAAAAACATACTCTGATAATATATGCATTGTCTTTGAAACTGATTGGTCCACACCAGAGACAGCTTTCTTTAGAGCCTAGTCTCAAAATAGTGTTAGACCAGAGGACGCCAAAAGGCGAACAGCACAAAGACAATGCCACTATCAGGGCATTGAGAGCTCGGGGTGAGCATCTAAATCATGGAACCTCCTTTGCCAGTACCAAAATATGGGAATAGGTTTTCCCCTTTTTTCTGGCAACGAACAGGTATTTAGATGTTAGAACACCAAACTGAAAATTTTACAATGAATAATGTCTGCATTAACCACAATACTTGTGGTCAGAATGCAAACAAAAAACATACTCTGATAAAAGAAGAAAACCTATTTTCATATTTTGGTACTGGCAAAGGAGGTCCCATGATGTAGCTGCACACCCCGAGCACTCAATATTCTGATAGTGGCGTTGTCTATGTGCTGTACGCCTTGTGGCGTCCTCTGGTCTAACACCGTATTGAGACGAGGCTCAAAAGAAAGCCATCTCTGGTGTGGACCAATCAGTTTCAAAGACAATGCATATATTAGCAGTTTAGTTTTTGTTTGCATTCTAACAAGTATTGTGGTTAATGCAGACATGATTCCTTGTAAAAGGTTTCAGTTTGGTGTTCTAACATCTTAACACCTGTTTGTTGCCGGAATAAACTCCTTTAAAAATAGTTTTTTAAACAACGATTTAATTAAC